AGCACTTTTTCAAAGTAGTGATGCGCCGCAGCCTTGGTGTCATGAGTAGAAACACATGCTGACTACTGAATAGGCCACTGGCCCGAAATTCGGAGGAGCTGATAAGAAACCCGAGAAAAACCTGTGGGAACCTTTTAGCTCGTCGAGTTATGAGCGCCTTTGAAAAGCAAGATAGCCTTTACGAGTTTTACGCGTCTATTCAAGGGATGACGGGCTACTATCGTCCGTTTGTTAAGAACTACAGTACTATAGCTTCCCCATTAACAAATCTAACACGACTTGACACCCGTTGGGAGTGGACTAAAAAGTGTGAGGCGGCCTTCAGGAAACTGAAGCATGCTCTGACCCACTATGAAGTCCTCAAACTTCCTGATCCTGATAAACCTTTTGTAGTGACCACAGACGCCAGCCAATATGGCATAGGCGCGGTCCTTGCCCAAATGTAGGGGCCAAAGTTGAGACCAATTGAGTATATGAGTAAGAAGATGCCATTTCAAAAGCTAGCAAAGTCCACGTATGAGCGTGAGCTCTATGCCCTATATAGAGCGCTGGTTCATTGGAGACGTTATCTCCTAGGAAGATTCTTCTACGTGAGATCTGACCATGCGACCTTGCGCTGGATCAAGACACAGCCCGAGCTCTCTGATGCACTCAAACCATGGATACAACTGATAGACATGTATGACTATCAACTTGATCCAATCAAGGGAGAGTACAACAAAGTGGCTGATGCATTATCTCGTCGGGCAGATTATCTGGGCACGTTAGTTACTGAATTTGGCATATCTAACGATCTAACTCGATCTTTGGTGGAGGCCTATCAGCAAGATGCAGTTATGTCTGAAATCATCCGTAAATTTCAAGCAAAGGACAAAGTAACTTTGGATGAATTTACGATGGTAGACAGCTTGCTGTTTCTTGAGAAGGCTGGGAATAAAAGACTGTGTGTGCCTAAAAGAGAGTCTTTACGTAGTTTATTTATAGGTGAGTGTCATGATGCAACTGGTCATTTTGGTTATAAAAAGACTTCAGGTAACTTGGTGCAAAAATTTTGGTGGCCCACTATGATGCAAGATGCAAAGAAGTACGGTTTGCCAAAGGGACAAACCTAGGACTCAGGTTCCACTTGGGCTCATCAAGCCCTTGCCTATTCCTGAAGGACCTGGTCATACTACGTCCATGGATTTCATGGATACTCTTGTGACCAGCAAGTCTGGAAAAAGGCACATCTTCGTGATAGTGGACCGCTTTTCTAAGTATGCAAGACTTATCACTATGCCAGAAACTGTTAAAAATGACTATGTCATCAAACTGTTTCTGGATAACTGGGTCAGGGATTTTGGACTACCTACGTCAATAGTAAGTGATAGGGATGTAAGATTTACCAGCGAACTGTGGCAGGCGACAGCTGAGCAGATGGGAACCAAGCTGCAAATGACGTCAGGGAATCACCCTGAGCCAAATGGCCACACAAAACAGATGAACCGGATAGTACAGCACCTGCTTCGGCATTATTTTAAGCCAAGTCAGGATGACTGGGACGAGAAGTTACCTCTCGTCGCCAGCCTGTACAACAATGTTGTGCACAGTACTATTGGCATGACCCCCAACCAGCTGCACCTTGGTTGGAAGCCCAGAACTGCACTTTGACTTTCTGCTACCAGAAAGGCAACCCACCGCAGCAACTGGCGGCATAGAGTTTGCTGTCAATTATGAACAGATGTTGCAGCAGGCCGTCGAACATATTAGAAAGTCTCAGGATGCTATGATCGCCTTTGAGAATAAACATAGACGGCCCTCTAACTTTCAGGTAGGAGATAGAGTCAGGGTAAACTCATCTCAACTAGGCCAAGAGTTGGGAATTTCACGTAAACTGATGCCACAGTACTTTGGGCGCTCGGAGATCTTGGACGCTGGGAGATCTTTTAGACATTGTAGGGGATCAACCGGATGGGCCTTCATACATGATTCGCATTCCTGCACACTTGCGTACTTACCCTGTTTTCCATGCATCCAAGTTAGCACCTGTCACTGCCACAGATCAGTTTCCCTCCAGGAGATCAATGCTGCCCCCAACCATGGACGGACACGTAGATACCGATGACATCATCGAGCACAAGCTGATGCCTGTGCCCAAACCTCCAGGAAGGGGACGACCGCCAAAGCCACAGATACAATGCCGAGTGCGGTTCAGACATCACATTGATCCTCAAGAAGACCGGTGGTTCACAAGAGAAGAATTAATGAAGACTGCTCCCCAAATTATCTCAAGTTACGAAAGAAACCTGAAAGGGAAGCAGCCTGTTACATAAGGACTTCTCATAGGACTATCGAAGAAAAGGAGGAGGGAATGCGAGGATCTGGGTCCTTGTGAGGCCTGAGTGGCCCCTGCTGCAAATGTGCCCGCCCTAAGTGAAGGCGGGCCTAACAAATCACGAAAGGCCCTAAGCTGTCAAATTCGTATTTGGGGTCCAGGCAGTTTCGTCGCGCCAGTTGGTTGAAGGGAACACAGGCCGAGCAGCGAGGAAAATGCCAAGGCCTTCTAGGCCTTTCCCGAAAGCACAGGCCCTGGGCGAGATTCGCAGCCTCGTACACAGACAGTTAAGAGGCCCAACCGAATGAGGCCCAGCAGCTGCACCAAAGGCGCAGCATCCTGGGGCCTACCGGAAGCCAGTCCAGCCAGGCTGCCATACAAGGCAGGCTCTTTCCATATAGGGAAGAGCTCGCTGCCTGGCGGGGCATTCGGGCACTCGCATGCTGGCTGCAGCGCTGCTGGAGCTGAAGCTCGTGGGCTGCTGCTAGCGCTGAGAGGCGAGGTGCAAGCACGTGCGGTCGTGCAAGGAGGAGGGCGCTGCTGAGGGCAGCGCCATAGCCCAGCCTCCATAGCTGGCAGGCTTGGATGTACAGTGAGGCGCAGGGGTGGTCTTCGGGTGTACAAAAGGGAAGACGTGGGAGAGAGACAAGGGAGAGGGAGAAGGATGATGATGATGATGATGTGAGGGCGCATACCTGGTATTGGCGATGGTCTGCATGGGCGACAACTTCAAGTACTTCGGAGGCTGCTGACGTCAACAGTTGCATTGTCAATTAGTAGGCTAGTAGTAGCTGTGTAGGGAGTAGGCTGGGCGCCGAGCGCCAAGTAGGGAGATAGGGCCTGGATACATATGTTGGTGGTGGCCAGAGCAAGCTCTCATTGACATTGGTTTTCAGCGCTACGATTCTCTATTGTTGTCATATTGGTGCAATGCTGCTTTCTGAACACTGTGATACGATCTGGCTTTCAATGTGATTGTGCAATCTGAATATTGTCATCTCGCTATTGTTCACTTTCCTTGCCACAAAAGGCACTAGCAATATGAAAACAAAAAGGGAAAAAAAAAAAAAAAGGCACTGGAAAAACAAAACGGGCCTGTCAGAACTGCGCATTGAAAGAACACTCATGACAGTCATAAGGTGAATGGATCTTACCTGGTGCAGGTCCCACTAGCAAAGAGGATTGGATTGAATTCCTGAATCTGGACTTGTTTGAGGACAGATGCAGAAAACCGTGACTGATCTGCTTTTCTGCATCTTCGCCAAGAACCTATCCAGATTCAGGTTCTTAATCCGATCCACTTTGCGAGTGGGGCATAGCCCCTGATATCGTTTGTATGCATACATTTACGTGATTCAGAACTCGTACAAGGGGCACACACACACACACACACACACACACACACACACACACACACACACACACAGAGTGGGACATAGCCCCTGATATCGTTTGTATGCATACATTTACGTGATTCAGAACTCGTACAAGGCACACACACACACACACACACACACACACACATCTCCACACACACAAATTTCTTGTGGCTGCTGCTGATGAGTGTGGCCCTCAAAAGATGAGGGGAGGGGTGGGGTGCACTGCCCCTTTTTTTTTTTTTTACCCCCATTTTTTGGCCGTGCGCCGCATCACGTGTGTGCAGGCATGTGCATGCGGTGTGCGCACATGTGATGTGCAGCAAGTATGGTTAAGAGTAGTATACACCCCGAAACTCGTGGCATGTGATAAAAGATGCACACGTGGAAGTCTGATGGCTGTAGCGATTCTTGGTGATTTCTTCCCATAATAGTGTATGCTGCATTCGTTTGATATAACACAGAACACAACACATAAATATACGATTACAGCGAATCGAACCAACTACATGAGGGTTCATTATCACAGTGAACGTAGTAGGTCCACGGCCGATGCAACAATCGGGTCATAGCTACCCTTCTGCCTCCTGCTCAGGTAACTTTCTCAGCCATTGTCCACGCATAAACAGTCTTCGACACAACACGTAGAGATTCAACACAGAGGAAACGAGTTGCACACGTTTTCCCAACGGATGTGGGCAAGGATGTGTGTGCGTGAGAGAGAGAGAGAGAGAGAGAGAGAGAGAGAGAGAGAGAGAGAGAGAGAGAGAGAGAGAGAGAGAGAGAGGGGAGCGGGGAAGGGGGGCGGTATGAGGTAGAGGCCATAGCCTACTGACAGAGAGAAGCTTACATGAGACTTGCCTGCTAGTCATCGCGACAGAGGGAAGAGAGAGCACTGCTACAGAAAGACCGCATTGCCATATGTGGTGTGGATATTGGTTATGCTGTAACATTGTGCTCCAGCTACTGGATGCGGGGATGCATCTAACCACCAGTAGATGATAGATTCATGATATTGTGAGGTGGTGATTAGGAGGAAGAATACCTGCGGATAGAAGAGGGAGAAGAGACAAGAACTGATTATTTTCTGGAACTGTCTTCTTCTTATCGCTCTCCTTCTTCTTGTTGACTTTTTCGTTTGACACTGTTGCTAGTCCTTGCTGATTTGTCATTCATCTGAGATTTACGAGTACATGCACGATGATACCATGTGCTCTTCACAAATTCAGTTTGTTACAAGAGGATGTATTCCATGCTCCAAGAGTGCCATTTGAGATGAGAGACATACAGTTGTGGAGCTCACAGCTTACCATTCACAGTCGCAGAGACCATTCGATCTTGCTCCTGCTGCATTGCTGTCCCTCCCAAACTGGAACGACCACATGAATTCTGGACCCAATCTGGCAGAGTGCCCGCAGCAGTGATATTTAATGGCCTCGGCATCACCTGCCCGGTTGTGACATCATGGAAAGTAGGCGTGCCATCATGCTCGACGATGTCTTTAGGGTTAGCATATGCTAAATCCTTATACGTTTCATAAATTGGCTGACAAGCAGAGACACATGCAGGCAACCAGCAGCCGCCACGTTCCAGAACCGTTAGAGGAAGCGAAGTCATGTGCATGGAACCAATTGCGTCAACACATCTACTGCAATAAATCCAGTCAGATAGAAAGCTCTTCAATGTCGAGAAACAGTATGTCTCAGCGCAGATACAATGTCTAGTTGTACAAGTAATCAAGTAGCCCAATGTCATGTCGCCAGAGAAGAGGCTGATAGGAGGGAGATGAGAGGGTGGAAGAGAAAGTGTACATCAGAGTAGCAGATAGATGTTATGAACTTGGTTGTCTGGCGATTTTCTCGCCACTCACACACAGAGTATCTCACACACGCCCATACATGTACAAGACATAGGGGAGAGGAGACAGAGTCCAAACTGTACACAGACCAAGATAAGCAGCGGAATTCAACCATGCACAGATGGGGAGAAGACACACAGTGTTTTCTCACTCTCTGACAAACTCCCAACAACCAATCACAAGAAGACACATGCGAGGATAACAATAGGATTCTCACTGATGATGAGCCAACTCAAACCAATGGTCCAATCATCGTTGCGGAGTTTATCTCAGCATCTCGCCACTCTCAGTACTCCACACACCACTCTCTCTCCTGCACCCAGTTAGTAGCGCAACACTGAATCTGCCTCCCAGAGGCCTGCGCCAACCATCCAGATGAAGAACATGAATCGCGATGAAGTCTTCAGTGCCAATGAGTAACTCTGACAAAGAAGATGGCAGCTATGGCTGCCACACCACTGACGAGCCCTGACAGTCTCTGAGGAACGAAGGGCGACAGTGGTCCACCCACATACGCTCAGTGAAGAGCCTCTGAACAGCCCAGCCAATCGCAGATACCCTCAGGGGTAGATGCGCAGAGGGTGCCCCAGCTGTGGCAAGCCTCAGGAGTCTGGCTCTGGTTGCCGTCCACAACGAAGGTCTTGGGGTGCCGCCTCAGAGAGTCGTCACCACCAACTCGCTTGGCTCCAAAACGCTGTATCGCGAAAATGAAAATCCAAAAGTCCCTACACTACAGGCTGAGTCTTATTTATAGACTAGCCTACTCTAGACCTAGACCTACTGGACCGGTACCGCATCAGTTTGGCCTGCTCGGCCTGGGCCCTACCCGGCTATACGGCGTCTAGACCGTCTCTGCAGCCCAAGGCCCAGATGCACCTGCTGTCCTAGTGATAGCCCGGGTCTGCTAAGGGCAGTAACGGCTAAGGGGAACTCGGGCCTGCAATTTTCGTGTAAATTGCAGATATGTCCCTCACGAATTTCCCTCAGGACTTAACCGGCGGCTAGTCCCTGACACAAACAAAATTACAAATCTGACCCTAAGACGCGACTATACAACCTCGCAGTCAGATCTCGACAGCAGAAATCAGCAAGTCATTGCATAGATCTCCCTCACAAGCCCACTCCTCCTTCCGGCATCTCCAACTTCCATGTCATCAGACAGTCTCCTCTGACACACTCTGACAATGAACAGACCTCCACGTGGCGCCTGCACAGCGCACACAACCTCTGAAGACGAATCAGCAATTGCGCAATATCGATCAAGACAGCAGACAGGTAAGCTTTCCACAATCTCACAGCCCTGATCCTCCTCCTCGCCGGCGTCTCATCAATCTGGTAGACAATGTGGCAAGAGCCACGTCAGCAAAGTCAAGTATTCAGCTGGCGCCATAGACAGAGAAGGCGCCAGCCCAAAGCTTCAGCAGTCTCGCGTCGTCGTCAATGTCAAGCCAGCGTAGAGCCAGCGTCCAGCCAGCGTAGAGCCAGCATCAAGCAGCAAGTGCAAGACTGAATGTCTGTCAGCAGGGGCTGAGTCAATACGTAGTGTTGAATCCAGTTGACCAGCCTCTGGTCTCTCAGGTATGATGGCCCAGATTGTCTCGCAGCCAATGGCCGGGATCTTTACAGTTACAGATTCCCACTTGGACTTCATCCATGACAGATACCTGCAAACAGCCAAGTGTGTGTGTTTGATCGGCGGCCTGGACTGGGTCCATGTTGACTTTGATTCGTGAGCCTGAATTTCAGAGCTGCTGTTGACCTTTGACTTTCCACGGTCAACTGTTGCACATTGGGCCTCTGAAGGCCAGTTTTAGGCCTTGCTTCGGGTACCCCACAATAGCAGGCCTTCGTTCAGGCTGTGTTCATGACTGGGGTGTGGCCGTTTGACCCCTACCTCGGCCTTAGGCCAAAATGACGACCCTTAGCCACGACAGATGCATGATTTGAGCTGAGTTATTGCATTCCATCGGGCCCAATTTCGAGTTCCATCGCAGGAACTACTTCTTTAGGCTCGGTTTTCTTTTAACTCACGCTCATATGCAGTAGTAGGTAGAAGTTCTTTCATAGTGAGCCATCTTGCTTCGGAGATGGGTTGAGTCTTGAATGTTACCTTGTACTGCTTCTGCAGTCTTCCGCTGCCACCTGTGGAAAAATATCCATGTTCCAATATTCTTTCAACTTCATAGCCCCCATTCAAAGAGGGAGGAATCATGGATGACCGATTGGGAAGCTCGTGGCCTTCGACATAGGGTAGCAGTTTGGAAGCATGAAAGACAGGATATGTCATGACGTGAGGGGGTACATCAATTCGATATGATGGGCCACCTGTGCCCCCTATCACCTTGAGAACTTCCTAGGGTCCGTAGTGGACATGTAGCAATTTATGAGACATTTTCTTTGAGGGAGAATTCTTTGGACTTTACCTAAACCAAATCTCCTTCTTGGAACTGAGATGGTCGACGACGCTTATTTGCTTGTTCGATCATATGTAGTTGGGCTTTCTGTATATTCTCCTTTACTTTAGCTATGTCCTGTTCATACAAAATTGCAAAGTCTCTGGTTCCTGGGGTAGCCGTTGGACTTGTTCCCAAGTCAATGAATCAATGGGACATTCGAGCTTGCAGTGCGTTAGGTGTTCTGCCAGTAACAGTTTGAACACTGTTGTTCTAGGCACTCGCAATCTTTGGTAAGTTCTCATCCCAGTCAAGTTGGTCGGGCCTTGCATACATTCACAAAAGTTGTTGGCACAGTCTGTTCATTTGCTCAGTTTGTCCATTCGTTTTAGGGTGTCTACCTGACGACATGGTCAATCTTGTGCTATAGGCTTCCATTAGCTTTTGCCATTGTAGACCAGTGAACCATTCATCCCTATCAAAGACAATGGTTTTCGGAAATCCGTACTCGGAAACCCATCGCATCTGGAACTTTTGGATGACGAGTTTCGTTCTAGCTTCTGATGGTAGAGGAACGAGCATCACATACTTAGAGAATCTATCAACAATGACCGTTACTTGGCAATTCCCATTTCGACTTTTGGTGAGACTCATGAAGTCAATCGAGATGGACTCACTTGATTCAGTACCATGAGATTCTCATTAGAGGGCTTGTTCCTTTGGCAAACAAGACAGGTTCGCACGTAAGTTAGCACATTCTCTTTCATTCCTTTCCATCCAAAAGACTCTCACATTAGCATATGTCTTCTTACATCCGAAGTGCCCCTCAGTATTATGACATTCCTCAATAACCATACTTTTGATGTCTTCTCTACGGGGCATACAATTTTTTTCTTTGGTTTGATCGATAAAGAAAAGCAAGCCATCATCTATTCGATATTCAAGAAAGAGTTCAAGATTCTTCTAAAGGGTTTGGATTACAGGATTCCAAATTGGATCCGCAACACACCCTTTACGAATTTTATCCTTCAACTCATTCCCGATGTCAAGGTAAGTAACAATCGTACCAAAGAAATCAGAACGTCTGAACAAAGCATCACCATCAACACTAGACTTACCTTTAATGGTTTTCAACTCAAAGTCAAATATATCGATGAATGCAGACCATCTTACTAACTTGTCCGAGAGTCGTGGTTGAGTATTGATCAAATTCAAGGTTAAATGATCTGAGTAAACTGTGAAGTGTCATCTGAGCAAGTAGTGCTTCCAAGTGTCCAGTGCTTCCACTTAGGCCTACAATTCCCCCTTAATCCTTTTGTAGCACAACCTCAATCCCAAACTGACTAGCATTAGTTGTGACAATGAAAGGAAGTGAGTGCAACGGGCCTCTATCTGCCGCAGCCTACAACCAAGGCCTATTGGGCTATTTGTATGTTCGGCCTGTGGGACCAGGCCGTGGCTTGACCCCATAGGCCGTGTGCTGTTCCAGTCCAGTCCAGTCCAGTCCAGTCCAGTCCAGTCAGTCCGCTGGGGGTATACCCCAGTTGTTTTCTGTTTTCAATTCATTCTTCATTCTGCACATCTTGGAGTACGCGTGTGTTGAGTCCGCGTCGTAGTTGCGCTGTCCCTTCCAGCTCCAGCTCCATCTCCTCCACCATCAACCCTTCGTCCTCATCCTGTCGAACCGCCATCCCGGCGGGTCCGCCACACTGGTATCAGAGCGGGAACGTTCCCCGCTCCCACCCACCACAGCCCGACATACGGTGTAAAACGCGACAATGGGTTTTCACCTGTTTTTTGGGCGTTTTCAAAGGAAAACGCCGGAAAAAAAAAACGGAGAAACGAGCAGCAGCAAGGGAGCGACAGGTGGCGAGAAAAGAGAGAGTGCCGCCATGACTCGTGCGCGCCAAGGCCACCGCACACGCACACACAACGTGCCCACGCTGCCTCTCTTCCCCGCCCCACTCNTCTTCCCCGCCCCACTCCCATATTATCTAGGTGGCCAGAAAAGAGAGAGTGCCGCCATGACTCGTGCGCGCCAAGGCCACCGCACACGCACACACGACGTGCCCACGCTGCCTCTCTTCCCCGCCCCACTCCCATATTATCTTTATCAAGATCCGAGATGCATGCTGCTGCGAGGGTTTGAACCTAGGCAGCTGCCAGCCATGTGCGTGCATGGCCAGTGCTGTAACACACTGGCCAGACTATGTCCATAGCTCTGTAGTGCGGGACGTTCGTGTTGAACAGTTCCACACGAGCTATTTACCCCTCTTGCACACGTGGCCATCTGC